CAAAGAAGGACAGTGTATGTTATAAAAGGTCCAATACACCAAGAAGTTAAAACAATTATAAGCATTTACACACCTAATGACAAACCATAAAAATACACGAAGCAAAAAAGGACAGAATCAAAGAGAGAAATAGAAAGTTCTACCAGAAAGGTTGATGACTTTAATATCACACTTTTGTAATGGATAGAACAACCAGGCAGAAGATAAGAAAGGAGACAGAGGACTTAACCATTAAGATAAGACCAACTAGATCTAACACACATATACAGAACACTCTAAACAACAACAATAACATACACATTCTTCTCAAGGGCACACAGGACATTTTCCAGGATAGACCACATGTTAGGTGACGAATTAAGTCTCAAAAGATTATAAAAGATAGATATCATGCAAAGTATCTTCTCTCACCACAATGAGATGAAGTCAGATCAATAATAAAAGTAAAATAAAAATTCACAAGTTTCTGGAAATTAACACACTCTTAAACAAATGGATCAAAGAAGTTACAGGAAAAATTAGAATGAAACAAAAACACAATATACCACAACATATGGTACACAGAAAAAGCAGTGCCAAAGGGGAAATTTATAGCCAAAAACACTTATATTAAAAAAAACAACAACAACGGGCAGTCCTAGTGGCTCAGCAGTTTAGCGCCGCCTTCAGCCCAGGGCCTGATCCTGGAGACCCGGGATCGAGTCCCACATTGGGCTCCCTGCATGGAGCCTGCTTCTCCCTCTGCCTGTGTCTCTGCCTGTGTGTGTGTGTGTGTGTGTGTGTGTGTGTGTGTGTGATGAATAAATAAAATCCTTTTTTAAAAAATTAAAAAATAACAACAAGGAAGACCTCAAATCTACAACCTAACTTTACAACTTAAGGAAGTAGAAACAGGAGAACAAACTAAACCCAAAGCTAGCAGAGGGAGGAAATAAAGATTAGAGCAAAGATATATGAAATAGAGAATAGAAAAACAATAGAGTAAATCAATGAAAACAAAAGTTGGTTCATTAAAAAGATCAACAAAACTGACAAATATTTAGCTAGATGTACTAAGACAAAAAGGGAGACATATTAGAAATTAAAATGAGGATATCACTACCAATCCTACAGAAATAAAGAGTATTATAACAGAGTACTATGAACAACTATGGGCCAACAAATTTGATAACATAGATGAAATGGAAAATTTCTAGAAATACAAAGTCTACCAAGACAAAAACATGAAGAAACAAAATCCAAATAGACCTATAACTAGTAAGGAGATTGAATCAGTAATCAAAAATATCAGGTGCCTTGGTGGCTTAATTGGTTAAGTGTCTGCCTTTGGCTCAGGTCATGGTCCTGGGGTCCTGGGATAGAGTCCCACATTTGGGCTCCCTGCTCATCAGGGAGTCTGCTTCTCTCTCTCTGCCCTTCCCCCTGCTTGTTCTCTCTCTCCCCTCTCATTTTCTCTCAAATAAATTTTTCTTAAATAGTAATAAAAAATATCCTCAAAAATAAAAGCCTTAAACATGATGGCTTCATAGGTGAATTCTACAGGCATCTAAAGAACTAATACCAATCCTTTTCAAAATTTTCCAAAATATTGAAGAGAAGAGTAGGAAACACCTCCCAACTTATTCTATAAGGCCAGCATTACCCAGATACCAAAGCCAGACAAAGACACTACAAGAAAAGAAAACTTATGAACATTAACAATGATTACTAAAATCCTCAAAAAATAGCTAGCAAACCAAACTTAGCAGCATATTAAAAGGATTATACACCATGAACAAGTGAAATTTATCTCTAGAATGCAAGATGGTTCAACACACAAAACTAGATCAATATAATACACAACATTAACAGAATGAAAGAATTAAAAGACATAATTATGTCCATTTGGCAAAATCCCAACACTCTTTCAAAATAAAAGCATGCAACAAACTAGGAATAGAAGGAAACTGATACAACATAACAAAAACCATATGAAAAATCCACAGCAAACATCATATTCAATGATAAAAGACTGAAAGCTTTTCCTCCAAGATCAGAACTAAGGCAAGGATGCCCATTATTACCACAACAATTCAATATAGGAGCAGCAATTCTAGCCAGAGCAATTAATCATGAAAAAGAAATAAGACATCCAAAATAGAAAGGAGGAAGTAAAATTATCTGTTTGCAGACAATATGATTTTATATGTAGAAACTCCTAAGATTCCCCACAAAAAAACTATTAGAACTATAATTAGAATTACAAATTTCACAAAGTAGGAGGATACAAAGTCAAAACACTAAAGTCGGTAGCTATTCCATACACAGATAGTGAACAATCTGAGAAAAAAATATGAAAACAGTTCCATTTACAATAGCATCAAATAATGAAAATACTTAGGAATTAACCAAGTAGATAAAAATTTTGTACAATGACAACTACAAAACACTGATGAAAGGAATTAAAGAGGACATAAATAAATGGAAATATACCCCATGTTCACACATTGGAAGACTTAATATTGTTAAGGTATCAATAATACAAAAAGCAGAATACTGACTCAATTCAATCCTTATCAGAATCCCAGTGATGTTCTTCACAGAAATAAATTAAGCCCATCCTAAAATTCACATAGACTTTCAAGGAACCTTGAATAGCCAACGAAATCCTGAAAAAGAACAAGCTGGAGGATGCACATTTCCTAATTTCAAAACTTACTACAAAGCTATAGTGATCATGGGATCCCTGGGTGGCGCAGTGGTTTAGCGCCTGCCTTTGGCCCAGGGCGCGATCCTGGAGACCTGGAATGGAGTCCCATATCGGGCTCCCAGTGCATGGAGCCTGCTTCTCCCTCTGCCTGTGTCTCTGCCTCTCTCTCTCTCTCTCTCTCTCTCTCTGTGTGTGTGACTATCATAAATAAATAAAAATTTTAAAAAATCCTTAAAAAAAAAAAGCTATGGTGATCAAAACAGTGTGGTACCAACATAAAGACAGACATATAGATCAATGGAATGGAATGGAGAGCCCAGAAATGAACCCTTGTATATATACTCAAATGGCAAGCCTGCCAAGACCATTCAATGGGGAAATGACAATCTTTCAAATGATGCTGGGAAAACTGGATATCCACACACAAAAAAATTAAGTGGGATTCCTACCTGATCCTGTATGCAAAAATCAATTCAAAATATATCAAAGACCGGCCAGCCCAGGTGGCTCAGCAGTTTAGCGCCACCTTCAGCCAAGGGTGTGTGACCCTGTCCCATGTTGGGCTCCCTGCATGGAGCCTGCTTCTCCCTCTGCCTGTGTCTCTGCCTCTCTCTCTGTGTCTCTCATGAATAAATAAATAAAATCTTTAAAAATATATATCTATCAAAAACCTAAATGTAAAACCTAAAACTTTTAGAAGAAAACATAGAGCAAAACTTCATAACATTGGATTTGGCAATGATTTCTTAGATATGACATCAAAAGCACAGGAAATAAAAGAAAAAATAGACAAAAGAAAAACAGACAAAAATTCAAAATATGAATTGGATTTCATAAAAATTAAAAACTTGTATGCATCAAAGACACTACTGATAGAGTAAAAACACAAGCCACAGAATACGAGAAAATATTTGTAAATCATATGTCTGATAACAGATTAATATCCAAAGTATATAGAGAACTTCTAAAATCCAACAACAATGTGCTCGCTTCGGCAGCACATATACTAAAATCCAACAACAAAAAAGCAAACAACCTGTCTCAAAACATGGGGATAGGACTTGAATAGACATTTTCCCAAAGATATACAAATGGCCTATAAGCACATGATAAGATGTTCAATATCACGAATCATATGAGAAATGCAAATCAAAACTATAATGAGATACCACCTCATACCCATTTTGATGGCTACATATGCATATATATATATACATCTATGTATGTATGTATATATATACATATTTACAAAAGACAGAAAATAATCAGTGTTGATGAGGCAATAGATTTCTTTGTATGCTATTAGTATAAATGTGAAATGGTACAGCCACTATGGAAAGCAGTATGGCTTTTCCTCAAAAATTTAAAAATAGAATTACAATTCTATTTCTGGATATATACCCTCCTAATTTGAAAGCAGGGTCTTGAGTAGATATTTATGCACCCATGCTCATAATGCTCATAGCAGCATTATTCACAATAGCTAAAATGTGGAAGAAACCATAAGTGTCCATGAATGGATGTCCTCAAGGACATTATGCTAAGTGGACTAAGTCACAAAAAAACAGTGTATGATTCCACTTATATGCCTAGAGTACCAAATCATGGAGACAGGAAGGAGAATGGTTGTTGCCAAGGTCAGGGAAAGGGGAGACAGAGAGTTATTGGTTAATTGGATTAATAGAGTTTCAGTTTTAAAGAGTGAAAGATTGATGGGCGTGGATGATAGAGATGGTTGCACATTTATGAATGTACTTACCATCACTGAATGGCACACTTAAAAATAATTAAGATGATAGATCCCATGTTACCACAGTACAAAGAAATTGGGGGGTGAGAAGCTACAGGAGGGAAGGTATGGGTAGAATTGGAAGTAATTTGTACAAAGGACAGCGACTAAAATTATACCCTGAAGGATTTGAGTGTGACAAGAATGGAGTTCATTGAGCTTTTTAGCTCTAAACCATCTCAGACATGCTATCTGCCCATTGTTTATCCACTGGTACAGTCTCTGACAGCGTAAATGAGCCATTTTCTATCAATCTCTATGGCTTGCCTGTCCTGTTCGTTGCTATTGCTACATGGCAAAAATTGACCTGGAAAATAGCAGAGATATTCTCACAATAGCTTCTGTAACCTGGTTGGGTTTGCTTGCAGTTTCGGCAGGCTGCTGCCTCAGTTGCCTTTCTTATCTCTTATTGTTATTTTTGAAAAAGGATAGGGCCGCCCACCCCACATGATAAGGCTGGAGTGGGGGAGGGGCCAACCAGTTGTTCTGCTATCTAGGAATGATTCCATCATTTTATTCCAGCTTCCTGTTTCCTGTGACGCCAGATTTGAACATTCTTCCTGAACTTATTTTAGAAGCCTTCTCCTTAGCTCTAGTGAGCTCCTCTCTGCTCATATTTTTGGGCAAGAAGATTGCCAGTTACCATAACTACCATGTGAATTCCAACCAGGTGAGATGACAGGCCTTCCTATTATTTCCTCTGACCCTTAAGGGTTTGTTCCCTCATCTGAGCCTCCTAACACGAAGACTGCATTCTTTGTAATCAGTGGGACCATAATCTGAATTATAATTACCAAAGGATTTTTGAGGAGTGTGGCATGCTTAACTTTGAAGTCACTTAAATTAACATGAGTGTTATTCCCCCCAAACAGCTATGATGTAGGGAGGCAAGATGATAACATATGGTATCGTGTCGTTAAGCTAGCAGAACTCTTCTCCTCTTAATTTTGTCTTTCTTTCCAAGTCTTCAGGAGTCAACCACATACTGAGGCGCAATAAGAAATGTTAGGGAAAGTAAAAAACAGGCTACTAACATAATTACATTGCTCTCCCAGAAACAGTCCTACTTTGTTTGTTTAATCTCCCCACTATTCTAAGTAAGGCCCTTTTCCTAGTACTCCAAAGAGAGTACGGAAGCCAGAGGTGTCCCACTTTGATTTTGAGATAGTATAGAAGGGAGGACGAAAAAATAGTACTGTTTCCCTCTGCTGTTCTAAGTTCCGTAATCATGTGAAAGGGAATAATACGACAAAAAGTGACGAAGTTTTGGAATACAGGTGAGGTCCAGAGCTGACGACCAAGAAAGAATTGTTGAGAGATCTTTGGTGCAAAATGGTGGTTTTATTAAAGCAGGGAGACAGGGGGCATCCTGGGTGGCTCAGTAGTTTAGCGCCACCTTCAGCCCAGGGTGTGATCCTGGAGACCTGGGATCCAGTCCCAGGTCGGGCTCCCTGCATGGAGCCTGCTTCTCCCTCTGCCTGGGTCTCTGTCTCTCTCTCTCTCTCTCTCTCTCTCTGTGTCTCTCACGAATAAATAAATAAAATCTTAAAAATATATATTAAAAAGCAGGGGAAAGGACTGGTGGGCAGGAAGAGCTGCTGCCCCAGGCCTGTGAGGAGTGGCTAATTATATATGTGGGAGTTGGGAGGTGGTTAGGGATAGGGTAAGTGTCTAAGGGATTTTGGAAGCAAGGTTTCCAGGACCTTGAGGGGGCCAGCTGTTGTTGGGAAAAGATCACTTATTAGTCTAATAAATCCTGAGTCATGAGACCCTTCAGATGTGTATGAGTGGGCCATGTGCTTGGGGGATGGTTGCCAATATGTATAGAGATGGGGTTTAGAGATAAAGGAAATTTCTAAAGGAATTTTTATATGTTAGAGTAGGCTTACAGGATCCTGGGGGTCAGGCTACGGTTGCCTTTTGCCCTTAGCAAAGTACGAACATTGAGGCTATTGGGTCCATAGAGAAATGTCCCTTTCCCTGTTTCAGGGACTTATCAATGTGCTTTGTCCTCAGCTAATCCTCTGTTGCCTCATCAAAAAGTTCATTCCTTACTTTGAAAAAGTACTTTTCTTATGATGGCTAGCTAAAATGAAGATTCAAGTTAATCGAGGAATCAGATTCACTCTCCTTTTGTTCTTTCTAAGAATATTTCAGTGTGGTCTGAAGTGATGGAAACAATTTTATCATCATACATAAAGAAATAGACAGTATACCTTGAGTTCCAACTCAAACCTGCACTCTTGAACAACCAGTGTGCCAAATGTGTTCACCATTTCTTTACAGGATTTAATAGCCATCGGCCTTTGCAATGTCGTCAGCTCATTTTTCAGATCCTGTGTGTTTACTGGTGCTATTGTCAGGACTATTATCCAAGATAAGTCTGGAGGAAGACAACAGGTATGTTAGAATAGAATTTTCTCTCTAATATAAAAACATATCTATTCATAACCTTCTATCTATAATACCCTTCACAAGGGCAGCCCGGGTGGCTCAGCAGTTTAGCGTCACCTTCAGTCCAGGGCATGATCCCGGAGATTCGGGATCGAGTCCTGTGTTGGGCTCCCTGCATGGAGCCTGTTTCTCCCTCTGCCTGTGTCTCTGCCTCTCTCGCTCTCTCTGTCTCTATGAATAAATATATAATACCCTTCACAGAAGAGTATTTTATTAATTTGATCCAGTGGCTGCTTTATTTTTTTTTTTTAAGATTTGTTTATTTGAGAGAGAGAACAAGAGAGAGCATGAACAGAGGGGAGGGGCAAAGGGAGAGGGAGAAGTCAATTCCCTGCTGAGCAAGGAGCCCAACCAGGGGTGGGGGTGGAGGCGAGGGCTCAATTCCAGGATCCTGAGATCATGACCTGAGCCAAAGGCAGACACTTAACTGACTGAGCCACCCAGGCGCCCCATGTTGCTGCTTTAATGTTATGTTTGTTAGGGAAGATCTCTTGGAAGAACTTGGATTACACTCTTGCCTAAATTTTTGCTTAGACTTTTGTCTTAAAAGCCATTTGTCAACGTAGGACTTGAAAGCCATTTTCTATAGAAATATTATTCTACATGAAAAGTGTCTATGTATTAGCCTGTAAAAAAACATTTCCGTGTAACATCCTGCAAATAATAATATTTCAGGTGAACTAACCATCACCTCTTAACATTGTTTTCTGTGGAAGGATATATACCCAGTTCTTGTCTGGGAAAGCCATAATACAACTGTCTCCATCCTTGCTGCAGAACTAGGAAATTTGGGATCCCTGGGTGGCGCAGCGGTTTGGCACCTGCCTTTGGCCCAGGGCGCGATCCTGGAGACCCGGGATCGAATCCCACATCGGGCTCCCGGTGCATGGAGCCTGCTTCTCCCTCTGCCTATGTCTCTGCCTCTCTCTCTTTCTCTCTCTGTGACTATCATAAATAAAAAAAATTTTAAAAAATTTAAAAAAAAAAGAACTAGGAAATTTCCTAGCTTCCTCAAGGGGCATGGCAAGAGGCTTTCATGATGGAGAGTAAGTCCTTTGGCTAGATGAGCCTAGGGAATTTATGACCATTCTTCCTATGAATATAAGCAAATTATCTAGGTCAGATTCTCCTCAGGTATGCTGAATTAATAAACTAAATGTGTGGGTCAGAGGGGAGAGAGAATTGGAGGATGATGACAGAGAAGGCTCTGAAGGCCAACTGTCTGTCTAATTGCAAGCATGAGATTTTTCTAAGTCCAGTGTCCCCAGGTTCTGAACTGACTGGATACAAATTCCAGCTCTACCACATGGGAGGTGCCCCAGCTCAGCTATGCAGCATGATGAAATGTCAGAGATCTGTCAGAATCAAAACTGGAGTGAGCCCAGAGGATGGGTCAGGATTCAGAGGGCAAAGAAACATTGATGGAAGTCAACAACGGGCCTAGGCCATAGATACGTGGTAGAAATTGAAGTGTCAGACGAATAGTCACTACACTTTAATGGCAGAAGACAAATTGTCTCCGTCTTTGGGCAAATGGAGGTAAAATGTAAGGTGAAAGCCAATAAAAGTCAGAAGGGATAAAAGCTTGGGTCTAGAGTAAGACCCTGTCATGTCCACGCTGGCCTGTAAGGTGTAGCAGTCCTTTTCCACCACCATTTGACAGAAAGAAAGAAGATGGGCTATGTTAAAAAGAAGGATGTTCTCTGTACGTGTACACAAATGTTGAAGTCAAAACAAGAGGATTTCATGATAAGAAGTAGAAATGGACAGGGCACCTGGGTGGCTCAGTTGGTTAGGCATCTGCTTTTGGGTCAGTCATGATCTCAGGGTCCTAGGATGGAGCCCTCCATCAGGGTCCCTGCTCAGCAAGGAGCCTGCTTCTCCTTCTCCTTCGTTTGAGGAGGACCTGCGTCTCCCTCTGCCTGTGTCTCTGCCCCTCCCCCCTGCTAATGTTCTCTCTCTCAAATAAAATAATTAAATCTTTTTTCAAAAATTTATTTATTTATTTTTAAAGATTTTATTTATTTTTTTGTTTAAGATTTTATTTATTCATTAGAGACAGACAGAGAGAGAGAGAGAGAGAGAGAGAGAGAAAGGCAGAGACACAGGCAGAGGGAGAAGCAGGCCCCATGCAGGGAGCCCGATGTGGGACTCGATCCCAGGACTGCAGGATCACGCCCTGGGCTGAAGGCAGGCACTAAACTGCTGAGCCACCCAGGGATCCCCCTGTTTTCAAAAATTTAAAAAAAGAAAGGGAAGTTAGTCCCCACTAACTTTTAACAACATGCTTTGTTTATTCAGTAGGTAAGTGTAATATAAATTTAGGAAGAAATGGTGCACAGTTGGAAAAAACTAAATCACAGGGCAAGTAACATTAAGTGCAGAATAAGTCATATAATTTCAAGTGCCATAAATACTACAAAAAGGAGAAGGATGGAGGAAGTGGACTTCTGTGGATCATTGAAAGAAGGTTAGGATATGTATAGAAGGCAGGAAGGAAGAAGGGCTTTAGGTCAGCCTGAGTTGTGTTTAGCCTGTCAGACAAAGTGCCCGCTTCAAAGACAGCCTGTGGCTCTCATTCTATTTTCTGCTCCTACATTGTTCTCCTGGGGTAGCACATTCCCCTAACCAATGACTCTCCCTGGGGGGCCATGACACTTCACGGAGGGGCGGGGTTCTCCTAGGGATGCTGGTCAACCCTTCCCTGAAACCCTGATTTGCCTGATAAATCGCTGATTGGAGCAGAGAATGCTGCTGGCCCCTGGCCCTGGAGGCAGGCACTGGAGCTCACCAGCCTCCACTCTGAGTTTCTGATCTGGACAACCAAAGGCCTCTGAGACTCACTTGGCCTTCTTCATCCCACAGCAGTGGGGTACTCTTTCTATCCCTTCTCTTTGGGGACTTTTGAATCACTTTGCCTGAGAACACTCTCAGTTCTCTGAAGTTCCTCAGGACTATAGGAAAGAGAAGCTAGGAGCTGGCTCTGTACCTCTCAGACCTGACTTGCCACCAAAGACTCCTTTACTTTTTTAATCTGGCATTAATACAAACTGTGTATATGTATCTTTGCTTGTCTAGAACCCTCTTGTCTTCACTGGTTGCAGCAAAACCTATTGGCTCTTCCAGCCATGGTCTGGGCCTATAGTGTTGGTAGGCCATGGCAGAGGGGATATGAAGAGCCCTAGACCTGTGGCCAGGTCTGTCCCCCACTCCATCTTCCAGCTCATCTCGTTCTGACCACTGGGTTTCCCTGTTCTGCATGATTCTGTTCCTTTTGTTCCCTGCTTTCCGAGGACTGGCCTTCTTGCCATGTCCCCAGGTTCTCAAAACTGCTTTAAAGATTATTATAAAAGAAAGAGTTTATAAAAGAAAGAAGTGTGCCTATCTTTTTAGAGGAAGCAAATGGGGCAGTTGGAGAAAGCCTAGATCTTGGAACCAGCCAGTCAGTCAGGTAGATTGAAACCTGACTCAGTGGTTCCTAGATGTGTGGCCTTGGGCAAGTTAGTTTGGTTTTTGAGGCTCTAGTCCTCATCTATACAATGGGGATAAAGATATCTTTTCAGTTATGAGAATTAAATTAGGTGATAATAATGCCTATCGCAGTGCCTGTCACTTAAGAGGTTCAAAAATCATAGCTTCTACCCCAGGTCTCTAGGGTCCTGGCCAGTGCTTGGCAATCTACTTTTTGACTTCATAGAACCTACTCTGTATGGAGTAATTGGTGTCTGAGGGTCTGCGTGTCAATCGTGGCTGTGGCTTGTGGGAATTCACAGTACCTCGAATTCCCAAGGAGAAGGCAGGGTCAGTTTTGGTCAAGAAAACCTGGGAAAATGATGGAAAATGAGAGCAGAATAGCAAAATATACATGAGATGTAAAGTTCTACATGCTTGCTGTCTTTAGATCTTGTTCAGACACTGAGAATGAGATTCTGAGAGCCATCAAACATCCTCCTAAAGGCCCAATGCCACCAGGATGGCCCTCTGATCCCAAAGCCCACTCCTTTGCGTGCACAGCCAAGGAAGACATAGTTAATTGGCAGGCCTCCCAACCCTCTCTCAGGAGCAAATTTTATGGGATTCAGTGTCTGATTTGTATTCATTTAAATCTAGGTTTTATGCAGCTTTTTTTTTTTTTTTTTTTTAGCTTTTGCATATCTTTGTTTCCTTCAATCAGAAGAACTTGGAAAAAAGAGGTGTTAGGTAGGTCAAGCCTAGTGAGGGACACCAAAAAAAACCAAAAAACTAAACCAGACAAAAACAAAACAAATAACAACAAAAAAGAAGTGGTAGAAGGGAAAAGTCCTGAGGTATTTTCCTATGCTAATTAAAGTAGTTTTTCCATAGTGCCAACAAAGACCATCCAAAGGGAGACACTTACACTAGATCCAGCCACAGGCTGATGTGTACATTGGCTGGAGGAGCTTATGGTCTCAATTACCTGTTTCAGTTCTACAGGGTATAAAATGTTTGTCCTTAGAACTTCCTGAGTTTCCACTGTAGTGGTCCGTTTTCCCAAATCCTTTCAACACTACCACCACACGGTGTCATTTACAAAGCAGCAGGATGAGAAGGAAGGAAGTAGGAATTGCTTTCCTTGCTATCACTCTCAGTGATTCATTTGTATGCAGACAGCAGTGAGCTGCAAGAGGGAATCCAGTAGGAAGTTTTTTGTTTCTTTTTTTCATGCCTAAGAAATGAAGAGAAAAATCAGAGAATCATTGCTAAATCATTAATGGTTTAGTTTGAGGGACTCCCATAGTTCTTGCTTATATATGCCATCGTTCCAATATGTGGTTTGTTTTATTCTCCCCCACATTCATCCCTCAACGCAATGGGACATTATACTGTGTTGTATCAGTATATGTTCTAAGGGGCTTAAATGATGGAAATTTATCTATAGAGGGCATAGTAAATTCAAGACTATATCCAGAGAGCCTTGAGACTTTACAGGGAACTATGTCACCCAGCTTGCCATCTGTAGTTGCCAATCAGAACCACTCTTTACCAAGCACCCCTGAGCCCAGTCATCCACCCAGCTAGAATAGGACCCAGAATTGCATTCTGCAGCTCCAACTCACATTCATAAATTTTTTTTATGGCAATGAAGCAGAGAAAAACTGAAGTAGGAACATCAGAAATGATTATCATTGCATTATTAAGGTGAAACGCTACTGACGCTTTAAGGAAGCTATCCAAGCTCCAACAAGAAAGTGAGGGGTGAGGTATTTACTGATAGGGGAAGTGGGACAGTTTGGATTTGGAGGCTGACAGTGTTGAGTCTACTGAGGTTTTTCTAGAGTGTTCCAGGAGGAATTAAAAGTTGGGAAGGAATGCAAGCCTGACCTTAGGAGACTCCAGATTCACAGCGCAAAGCGAGGGCAATAAAGATTCAAATACCCAAGACAATTTTGCACTTTTCAGAAAACCTTCATGCATTCATTCAACCAGCATTTCTTGAGTACCTAGTGTATGTTTAGCACTTTGACAATACCTGAAAATGTCAGCTCAACAAAAATGCACTTATGCTGGATGGTTACATGCAACTCCTTTTAAGACAAAAATAACATGCTTCTCACCAAGCAGAGGCCTCAGTTGCAGACAGGGACCAATACATTCCTGATGGTCTCTCTCCAACTGGCTCTGTCTCCTCAGTTTGCATCTCTGGTAGGCGCAGGTGTGATGCTGCTCCTCATGGTGAAGGTGGGACACTTTTTCAACGAACTGCCAAATGTAAGTAGAATTAATAAATAACTGAGTGAAGAAAGATCCGATCTCCAGATTGCATCCTGGTGGGGCATTCACCTTGTCCCCAGTGGTCACCCTGTCCTCCCATTCCTTTCCTTTAAAATAATAGCATCTACTTCACAGGATTGGGAGTTAAATAAAGTAACGTTTATAATATAGAGAGAACGGTGTTGCACTAATCATCAGTGCTCAAAAAATATTAGGTATTATAGTTACTATTCTCATTCTCATTAATCTTCTTTTTATTGCATAAGCTATAAAGTAAGTTTTATAAGTAGGGATTCAGTTAAAGATGACCAAAATAGACTTCAGATGCCAGAACGCCCCTCACCGACTCAGGCTTGGAAACTCATTCTGTATTCATGCCATCTGTTTTCCTAAGATGGTTCCAGAAGGCCTTGTTCTGCATTCATATGAACTCAATCCCCTATTACTGCCTCTCTGCCTTGTGATCAGTTTACATTAGAAAGCAGGCTCTAAAAGTTGAGTTTTAACTCTGTTCAGCTGGGACACCTCTATAGACTTATGTGCCGTGCCATTCCTTCCCTTTGTGAGAGACTGATCACCTTGCATTTAGAGATGCCAGGTATGTTGATTATGGGCTGTAATCAATTTGTTCTTTGTTACAATACAGATCAAAGCTCAGTGGCTATAATTTCCTTTTAAATTTCTTTAATGTTCCTGTTAGCCATTTTTAGATAGTACGAAGGGAGGTGGGAGGAGGTCTCATGACTGGTGGAACAGCTTGGTTACACACTGAGGTGGCAATCCCTGAAGCCGGAGTGTTTGCCAATGTTATCCCCATCCTTTTGAACACCTCTCCCACCTGGTGAATATCAGGTTTCAGAAGAGCAGGACCACCTCAAGGCTCCTGCTGCCTTCAGCTCTTGTGATTCAGAGCTCTTGGAACTCTGCCCCAGAATCTATGCATAGAAGGTGGGATTAAGCTTGTATGTATCACACAAGCTGTCCTCTGATTCCCAGCAGAAGTCATCTCCAGAATTTAGCTTATTTAGCACCTTTGGTGCTATAATTCTTAGTGTCTATTTTAGGAGGGCCACTCACTAGTTTACTTCGAACAGTGATATTTTTTCTTTAGAAGAATCAGAATTTTTTAAAATTGCAAACAAAAATCTGTCAGAATTCACTAAGGGCACTCCTTTATTTTATATATATATATATATTTTTTTACACTCCTTTATTATAAATATGTTGGGGACAGAACAACCCTTGCTTTTGGCTCACCATGTTATGTCACATTATTTTTATAGCATCTAGTTAGGATGTTTCTGGGTGAGAAGATGTGAACACCATCTGATCAGTGGAATATCTGAATTGCTATAATAATGGGACTCTATGAATATTAAACTATGAATGATCCTTTCCTTCCTTGAGAGATTATGTATAGCTTGTGATAAAATTCTTATTGGAGAAATCAGTGGAGCATCCTGGCTAGGATCTCAACTGGTTAGAAAGGGCACCAACACATTTAAAAACAAAATAAAACGAAACATGATACACAATAGTACCTTCACTATTGTTTCAATTTTGTGTGAAAAAATATATAGCAGGAACCAAAATGTTAACAATAGTTATCTCTTGGATGATAGAAATGATACATAAGTTAAAAAAATTTTAAAGATTTATTTATGATAGACACACACACAGAGAGAGAGAGAGAGAGGCAGAGACACAGGAGGAGGGAGAAGCAGGCTCCATTCCTGGAGCCCAACGTGGGACTCAATCCTGGAGTCCTGGGATGGCGCCCTGGGCCAAAGGCAGGCGCTAAACCGCTGAGCCACCCAGGGATCCCCCTATATATAAGTTTACTTCTTTCTTTATACATGGGCATATTTTACCTTAATGTTCAGAAAGGTAAAATTTTTATTACATATTGTTTTATGAAAAGATTTGTTTCCTCTTCATATTCCCTGTTCAAGCCAAAGATCTTGCAAAATCTCTGTGAGATTGAGTTTTTTTTCCCTCCCACCACATCTCCCTGCAAATTGCAGAACACTTAGAGATTCTTGACTGAGAAGAAGATGAAGATGGGAAAGAAGTGATTTCTGCTGACTTCATCTTTGCCCTTCCCTCCTCTGCTAACCTACTGAGTCCACTGGTCACTGAGTAACCTCAGAAAACCAGAGTAAGCTTGGACCCAACCATCCCTGGTAATAGGATCAGTTCTAATTCCCAGTCAGAGCATACAGAAGAGAGATGGCTAGGAAAAGGCTAAGAAATGTTAAGCTAGCGCAGGGACTTCATGAAAACAAGAAAGTGTTTCTTCAAGTAGGTTAGATTTTGCTTTGAGGTCCTGATGATTTTTACATTTTTGAGTGGCATGGCTGACTTGTGTGTGTGTGTGTGTGTGTGTGTGTGTGTGTGTGATTCCTTTGTGAAGATTTGGGAGTTTTATCCCCGAAGGGAAAATGAAGTAGGGTTTACCTTTATCCCATAGGCTGTGCTGGCTGGTATTATTCTGAGCAACATCCTACCATACCTTGAAATCATTTACAACCTACCCAGTCTGTGGAGGCAGAACCAATATGATTGTGTAAGTATAGATGCTCTTGCTGAGATAGGGGAAGACAGAAAGGAAGGTTGGAAAGAGGGAATGAGAACAAACAAAAGAGATCAGAGTAAAGATCACTAGCAATTCTTTGATAACTAGTACTCTTTAAAAAAAAAAAAGAAAAGAAAAAGGTAGTCAAGGTTGTTGGTGCATGGAGATACTGAGACCTCATCCCAGAGGAATGAAAAAATTAAATAAAAAGGAGTTAGGTGGCTAGAGTTAGATGCAAATCTACTAAAAAGGGTTTGTCATACATGACATAGTTGAATGACTTTTATTCCAATTAGTGTGAACATATTCCAGGAGGCACAAATCATACTAAAAGAAGGTAGTATCTTGCCAGGCAGAATAACCCGTGGAGCACCCTTTCCCTCCAGAGTATATAACTGGGGACATAGAGGGGAAAGAGCAAAAAGATGAGGAACATAATATAATGAGAGGAGATGGACCCAGTAGAGGCAAAGAGACATGAAAGGGGATAGTTTTCGGATCCAGGTCCCTAAGGAGCTAAGGGAAGATGTGGTACAGTACACCAGTGCCACTTCTAGTCCCAGTAGGAGGGGTAGCATTTCCAACAGGATCAGACTGAAGGGGGGAAAGTTAATGCGGATACTAACAAGTAGCAGGTGAAGGGGTAAGTGAATATTTAAGCGAGTTTCAGCCTATCTGCTCTGTGAAGATGAGTCAGGTCACCTGCTGAGACTGATGGAGAAGGTAGTGGGGTAAGGGCCTGGAAAGGTTGCTAAAGGTTCACCATAACCATGCTAGGCCTCAAAATAGCAACTACCGTTCATTGGGTGAGTGTTCTGGGTCGCTTTAGGATGAGTATTTTTAATCTTAACAGAACCTATAAAGTAGATATTGTCATCCTTATTTTGCACCTGAGGTTTCAAGAGAGAATTGAAGAGAGAAATGACCAAGGATGCCTACAAGAATTGCTAGACAGACTTGGAACCCAATTATTTATGATGGTGTCAGTCCATATGGCCATAGAATTTGTAAATTCTAGGCATTGGGAGGGAGCGGGAGGGGGAAGGTGAGCTGAGAGATAGAACTGGTGATTTTCTCAATTCTGCTTGTTGTCATGGTCTTCCCCTGCCTTTCTTCCTCTTTTCCATAAGATCATTTGGTTGGTGACATTCACATCTGCCATTTTCCTGGGACTGGATGTTGGACTACTTGTTTCAATAGCTTTTGCCTTCTTCATCATCACTGTTCAGTCACACAGGTACTTTGTCTCGGTAATAGGAGGTTGGCCACGGTGAGATAAGGCAACTATGACCTAAAAGCAAATACCTTTCCTTTCAGAACTAAGATTCTCCTCCTGGGTCAGATCCCTAACACTAACATTTATAGAAGCTTCAATGACTATCGGGAGGTAAGATTCCAAATAAGTCCATTCCTTTGCTCAGAGGATGAGCAGGCCCAGGCTCGCTGCTTAGTTTTCCTATAAAATCCCTTTGCTGGGGATCCCTGGGTGGCACAGCGGTTTGGCGCCTGCCTTTGGCCCACGGTGCGATTCTGGAGACCCAGGATCGAGTCCCACATCGGGTTCCCGGTGCATGGAGCCTGCTTCTCCCTCTGCCTGTGTCTCTGCCTCTCTCTCTCTCTCTCTCTCTCTCTCTCATAAATAAATAAAATTAAAAAAAAATCCCTTTGCTGTTGTTGGCTGCACTATAGATACACATCTGCAAAAGCAGGGAAAGTGAGGCAGGAAGGCAGAGGTGGGTGACTTAAGTAGGTTGATCCGTAGAGTACAGTAGCCAGTTAAGGATCATATCCTTTAGGGGGAGGGAGGTTAAGAAAAAGAAAAGAACAAATAGAGGGGGAAGAAGAAAGCAGGAAAAGCAGGGGGTGAAAATGAGAGCAAAGAACTTGCTAATTCTGGCCTCTTATAAGAAGGAATACAGATTCTCCTTGGATTCTAGAGATTTTTTTTTCTCACTCCATAAAAGAGCTGAGAAATTGCCCTTCCCTTTACATTTTGTCTTGCAGGTTACAAACCTTCCTGGGCTGAAAATCTTCCAGTGCTGCAACTCCATCACATTTGTCAATGTTGATCACCTAAAGCACAAGCTGTTGAAAGAGGTAATGGCTTCCTTCCCTGCCTTTCTCCACCTGCTCCCCTCCCTGCTGCCCTGCCCCCCGCCCCCACCCTACCCCCTCACTCCCACCCCCACCCTACCCCCAGCCCAGGTGCCCCTCTCTCTCCCCACTCACCATCTGTGTGAGACCTCTCTTATATTTCTCAGGTTGAAATGGTAAGGGTGCCTCTTAAAGAAGAAGAAATGTTCCGCCTATTTAATCAAAGTGAAGAAGGCTCACAGGAAGAAAGGATTTGTCAGTGTTTCTGCAACTGTGACGAGCTAGAGCCACCACCCAGGGTTAGAGATGTCTTTTTCGTTCTGCATAACTTTCTCCACATTTTATAAGGAAGTACCCTAGTCATTTAAAAAGAAGAAGTGAAGAAAGAAAATCAAAACTCCCTTAGGGACTTTGACTCTTTAAGTGGGCTCTGAGTAATTGAAAGTCAAAGATTTCTACCCGAGATTTAGATCTTGACCCCCTTCTAAGTAGGTAGGAGGAGATGTTTGAGTCCCTACTCCATGGCCAGTGATTCATCCGAGCACAAAGAGTACACTTTCCCTATTGAGATCGACAGTAATAGCCTAGTTATACCTATTTCCCTGACTTTTACATGCCTGACTTTAGATTTCTGAAAATAAGTGACTTAAATATTATTTTCTAGGAGTACTTGGTTGGTTCAGTTAGTTAAGCATCCCACTCTTGATTCCAGCTCAGGTCATGATCTGGATCCCACAGCATTGTGGGATCGAGCCCTGTGTCAAGCTCTAAGCTGGGTGTGGAGCCTGCTTTGGATTCTCTCCCTCTCTCTCTGCTCCTCACACCCCCCCACCACCACCCCCACCAAAAAAAAGATTGCTTCTAATTCCAACCAGGACAGCAGAGTCAAGGTGGCTGGGGTTCTTAAGGATGTGCCAGGGTCTCCTGATGTCTGCCTGTGACCAAAGAAATGATGATGGGAGTGGAGGGTAGATAAGCATAGATGTAAATTTTATACCATTTGAAGGGTATTTTAGGATGAATTACAAAGTGTTCATTATTTTCTAATTGGATTTGATCTAAATTAATTCCCTTCATCTAATAGTTATTTCTTTTCCACACAGCTCATTTCTAGCATTGGAGACTTTCACTCAGTCTATACCTATACCCTGGAGGAGTACTTCTATTTACACACACACACACACACACACACACACACACACACATTTATTCCCCCAACACAAAATCCTCCTGTCCCCCTACTCATGCAGGCACTTGCAAACACCAAGCACCCAATCTCACTCCCATATATCCTAATGAAGTGTAAATTCTACTGAACTCCCTAAGAACACCAACTTCCCTGCCAAGAGGACAGAATTAACACTCTAACTTTTGTTTTGTATCCACACTGCACTGAGCATCATAGAGGGTGTTTACAGGACATCAGCAAAAACACTTTAGAGTAGAATAGAATCACCTAGTATTTTTTTAAAGATTTTATTTATTTATTCATGAGAGACAGAGAGACAGAGAGAGAGAGAGAGAGAGAAAGAGAGTGAGACAGGCAGAGGGAGAAGCAGACTCCATGCAGGGACCCTGACATGGGACTTGATCCCGGGCCTCCAGGATCAGGCCCTGGGCTGAAGGTGGCACTAAACCACTGAACCACCCGGGCTGCCCCACTGAGCTTCTACTCTGCACCCACAACTGAAAAAGGAAAACGAATTTTAATGATCTCTGTCCTCAGGAAGTTCTTTTTCCCTTTCTTTTTTTCTTTCTTTTTTATTGTGGTAAAGAACATATAACATAAAATTTAACATCTCAACCGTTTTTAAGTGTACAGTTCAATAGTTAAATATATTCACATTTTTGTGCAACCATCACTCTGCAGATTTTCTTCATCTTGCAAAACTGGAGCTCTGTCCCCACTAAACAACAGCTCCCCATTTCCTTTTCATCCCTGACCCTGGCTACCACCATTCTCCCTCCTGTCTCTATGAATTTGCCTATTCCAGATCCCTCATTAAGTAGAATCCTATACTATTTATCTTTTTTGACTGGCTTACTTCGCTTAGCATAATGTCCTCAAGGTTCTTCCAGGTTGTTCTTTTTTAAAAATGTTTTTTCCATGGAAATTTTGAAGATAAGCAAAAGTAGAGACAAGTATATTGAGTCTCTATATACCCAATATCTACTTCAAGATTTATCAACTCGTGGTCAATTTTTTTTTTTATAACTCATGGTCAATTTTGTTTCATCTCTATGCCTACCCGTGTATAGCCCCTCAAAATCACAGAATTATTTTGAAGCAATTCATAGAATTTTATTTTATTTTAAAGATTTTATTTTTAAGTTATCTCTACACCCAACATGGGGCTTGAACTCATAACCCTGAGATCAAGAGTCACATGCTGGGATCCCTGGGTGGCGCAGCGGTTTGGCGCCTGCCTTTGGCCCAGGGCGCGATCCTGGAGACCCAGGATCGAATCCCACGTCGTGCTCCCGGTGCATGGAGCCTGCTTCTCCCTCTGCCTGTGTCTCTGCGCCTCTCTCTCTCTCTCTCTGTGACTATCATAAGTAAATAAAAATTAAAAAAAAAAAAAAAAGAGTCACATGCTCCATCAACTGAGCCAGTCAGGGGCACCAATTCATGGAATTTTAAATCAAACTAGGGAGATTCTGGGACTCCAGGATCATGCCCTGAGCCGAAGGCAGATGCGCTTAACTGCTGAGCCACCCAGACATCCCTGAGCATTCACATCTTGCACGCCATTGTATTCCTGGCACTGGGTGCTGTCCTTATGCTATGGCAGGCACCCTAGGTCTATTAGGATGAAAGAAGCAAAAGGTAAAAACTGCCTTGCTCCAGTAATTCCTGTCTTCTTAAAGAAGTCTGATGAAGGATGGAGGAGTTGAGAAAGGGACCAGTGGAAGAAACACTTCAAACACCATATTAGGAGGTGCTGGAGACAAATTAGAACCCAGGGATGAGGGGAAAGAATAAGTCAAAGGTGATGTTAAGTCTGGCTCACAGGACAATGAAAACATCACTGGTACATGGAGGGAAGTTGGAATGAAGATGCTAGTGAATGTGGCTTCAGTCATGACCTCAAAGGGACAATGAGTTATCCGAGCAACATCCAAGCACTAGTCCACGGGAGCTTTCCTGCAAGGGAGGGAGATGAATCCGTAGACAGAAATGGCATAGTTGCAAGTACTTGTAGCCCTCCTCTGAGCCTCCTCATGGTCCTCCCCTCACTTTTTTGTCCCAGATTGTCTACACAGACAGATTTGAAAGTAGACGGGACCATGACTCTTCCTCCATTAACCTGATCCGCTGCTCACGTTTTGAGAGCATGAACATGAGCCAGTCCATTTCCGATGACCAAGGACCATACACCATATCTTCAATGCCTCACAGAAATCACGGTCAAAACTACGAGGGCATGGACAAAGCTCGGCTTTCTAATAACCCCTCTAGAAACAACTCGATGCCACTGCCTGGCACTGCTGAAAACCAGGAGAGGAGGAGATCATTCCTTCCCCACTCAGATAGCTCTCTTCTACCCAGCATCCACACCATTATCCTGGATTTCTCCATGGTACATTTTGTGGATTCACGGGCTTCGGTGTCGTTAAGACAAGTAAGTACCGAGGAGGCTTTCACAAGGGCTCTGATGCCCTCCTACCTGTGCCCCCGCCTGCCCCCATCCTGATTGAGTCCTGTCAGCCGCTAATCAGCTGCTGTGTGACTCCGGGGCCACCAGAAATTTGGCCACTAAAGACAGTTTAAGGTCAGCCAGAGTGAAAAGGAAACAAACCACCCTGATTTATTGAACTGGGTTTAGTTCTCTAAGCATGGCAGATTATTTCTCAGAAACTCAAAAGCGGGACATTTTAATACCATGGAGGCAGCAATCTGTGCCACACACCCAGCAACTCCCAGTATATCCTAGGAGTTCACTGCAGATCTTTTCAAGGAACAGGTCTGAATACTACAGAAAAAAACATGCCAAGAAACCTCCACTATGCAGCTGCTCTGAGGTAGACATTGCAAAATGCACTGAGAGGTGAGGACATGTGGTAAGATGACACTGCAAGCCTGGGGCTTCCTAGTCCAGGCCCTGTAGGATCTCCCCAGATCCCTCCTCACTGCCTGCATCTTTGGATAAAAAGGGCAGGGACAACTGTTCCTTTCACAGCTGTGTCCCTGAGTCCTGGCTTCTCTCCTACTCTCCGGTTTCTCAGTTTTAATTCCTCTCATTCTTACACAGTGTGGACAGACAGTTTAGATGCACAACTAACCATATTGGCTTTATTGTTAACGCCTTGTAACTACAATATCCACTTATATCCACTTTTCAGCCAGCTTATCTCCCTTTACAGCTCTCTGTCTCACTCTTGTTCCTGTTGATGATGGCTCAGGTTTAAATAACCTGAACACTCACTCCCCAGATCTGGATGCATCCACCTTTTTTTTTTTTTTTTTTTTTGAGATCTACTCTTTTGCTTGATTTTCCTTCTTTTCCTTCTTTTATCCTCTGATCCTATCTTATCAAACCTTCTTACTCCTAAAGAAAGATGATTCTCTTTTAAGTGAGTCCAGCTCCTGTTTGGTCTGAGGCAACAGGGAACTTCTCATAGCAGAAAGAACTCTGCTTGGCAGTCTGTGGATGTGTGCACTGTCCTGGCTTTGCTACTGTTGGCCATCCATCTGACCCAAGATGGTTTTGTAAATTGTACTGGGTCTTGATTTCCTCATCTAAAAATTAAGAGGCTTGAAAGAGGTTAATGTTAAAGGCTCTTCAATCTACGACATCTTTTTTCTCTATCCCATTTTGAGATTCCATTATATTTGATTATGTCTTAACTTTAGGGCTTTTCCATCAGTTTGCACTGCTGGGCTGTGTTCTCTTCTCCCACTCTTGTACACTAGTTACCACTTTAGATTTCATTAAACTTACAATATCAAATGCCTGCTACATGCCAGACCGTGTTGGACACATTCATATACACTCTCTCATTTAATTCTCCCAATATCCTGAGAGGCAAGCCATATTTCATCTGAAGAGTTCTAGGCTCACAGCTAATAAGTGGCCTGTCCAGCATGGGAACTCAAAGCGTTCGGCTTTATACCACTCTTCTCTCTGCTCTGAAGTACACTTGTGCCATCCTGTCCTCTCCTCTCTCTTCCCTCTTCCCTGCCTTTTTTGCGGAGGCACCATATGTTCTAGTCCTTGGCATAACCTATCCACACCTGGCCTACATTGATGACTTTCAGCTCCAGCCCCAACATGAAGGCAATGTAGACACTTTACTTGACAGCCTTCGGAAATTCATGGTACACTTTCTCACCTTAAAGATACAGGTTTCTTCATTCCTTCTATAATCATTCTTTACTGCCTTATAGGAGGAAGTCATTATTTTTTGTTTACTTCATCATTGAAAATTTAAATTTGCCAAGAAAAATCCCAGAAGTCATTCTTTAAAAAAAAAAAAAAAGATGTATTTATTTATTTGAAAGAGAGAGAGCAAGAGGGAGAAGCAGAGGCAGAGGGAGACAAAGAATCTCAAGCAGACTCCCTGCTGAGCTTGGAGCCCAATGCAGGGCACAAGATCGAACCTGAGATCATGACCTGAGCTGAAATCAAGAGTCGGATACTTAACTGACTGAGTCCCCCAGATGCCCACCAGCAGTCATTCTTATTAGAGACAATCACTCAATTTAAGCTTCTCCCTAATTCATAGAATGTCACTCATGTTGTTTGTCATTTAGAGTATGTCCACAGTGTCTCTTTATGAAATGACTTTATGATTTAATGTTTGATCAAGAATGGTTTTCTTGGGATCCCTGGGTGGCGCAGCGGTTTGGCGCCTGCCTTTGGCCCAGGGCGCGATCCTGGAGACCCGGGGTCGAATCCCACGTCGGGCTCCCTGCATGGAGCCTGCTTCTCCCTCTGCCTGTGTCTCTGCCTCTCTGTCTCTCTCTGTGTGACTATCATGAATAAAATAAATAAAATCTTTAAAAAAAAAAAAAAAAAAGAATGGTTTTCTTGTTTCTTCTTGGTAGTGAAAGAAGCAGAGTCTGTTTTTTTGTGTCTTTTGATATTTTAACAGTGCTCAGGGTTGGAGTCCAATCAATCCAAGAGTATTAAGGTTAATACGAACTTTAAGAGTTATTGCTCTAGAGCACATATATTGGCTGAAGTAAACTTGAAATCAGTATCTGATATTTAGTAACCTGATACTAATAAATACCTGATGTTTCACTAAAGTCAAATGCAATTTTGCAGAGCAGTTCTGAATATGAGTCTCAGGATTCCTGGATTCCATCCTCTATGGATTCCATCCTCCTGGATTCCATCCTCTATTCCATTCCACTATGTCATTTGACCATCTCTGGGCCATGTTTTGTTTTGTTTTGTTTTGTTTTTCCTTCTCTGCTCAGTGAACTCCAGAGAGAAGGAGGTCATATGCATACACTAAGCAATAATACCATGATATGGCTGTTCTTGAGGGCTATCCAGTGTGTTCCCGTCACATCTGTACCTGTCTCTTTCTGAGTGCTATCTTCAGGAGCATTATCTCTTTACATGAACTGTTTCCCACCTGAGACCATGGGCAACACTCCATATCACTCCCCACCCTCCATGAGAACATCTGATTCTTTTTTGTATTCCCAGCACTTGAGATATTTCCTGACATATGGAAATCCACTCATCAAAAGTTTATAGAGCTAAATTGGAATGCAGAGGTACATATACTCCAGACAAGTGAATGACCAAAGGGGTATTAAAACTTAGATAATTAGAAGGATCTTCCCTAGTGAGTGTGAAGATCACTAATACTGGTTTACTCTCTCCTCACAGATGTGCAATGCTTTCCAAAATGCCAACATTTTGGTACTCATTTCAGGGTGTCATTGTGAGTATCCTTTACCCTATGAGAGTGCTGTTTGCACCCTGTGTGCTCTCCCCAGGTGTCTGACCCTGTGTATGTTCTGGGTTTGGTTTGTAGCTTCTGTGGTCAGGGCATTTGAGAGGAATGATTTCTTTGACGCTGGCATCACCAAGGCCCAGCTGTTCCTCACCCTCCACGACGCTGTGCTGTTTGCCTTGTCAAGGAAGTTTCCAGAGTCATCCGAGTTAAGCATGGACGAATCTGAGACAGTGATACAGGAAACCTTCTCAGAAACAGAAAAGGTTGGATGATGTGAAGCATCGTGGTGGGGGGTGTGCAGGGGGAGATATCTGATTAACTAGAGATGAGAATGTCCAGAAAAGGTTTTTGAGTATGGCTGTGCCAGACTTTGGGATGTTGGAGTGCTCCCTTAGCAGAGGGTAAATAGCAGTAGAACTGAGTCCCATGTTCCCCATACTGTCATGGTATCTGGACCCCATTCAGGACCCTTCCCCAACTGAAGAGAGTGTTACCCAACCCAGCAGAGGTCTCAAGGATCCTTTTACAGCAAGCTTGGTTAGTGCCAGTGCCATCCCAATTACTGAATATTTTAAATATCTCCCCTAGCTATACCTTTAGAATCCATCCCTACACCACCCTTGGCATGAATAATAGAACTGATGAACTAGCAGAGGTAAAGACTTGCCAATCTAACACTCTGTCTCTTATCTCCATCGGAAGTAATATAAGATTTACTCAACCTGACCAAAGCCAGAACTTTTAACCATTTATTAACACTAAATAAAGACTTTGGGCCTACTTCAGTGTTTTTTTTTTTTTTAAGATTTTATTAATTTATTCATGAGAGACACAGAGACAGAGAGAAAGGCAGAGACACAGGCAGAGGGAGAAGCAGGCTCCATCGGTGCAGGGAGCCTGACGTGGGACTTGATTCTGGGTCTCCAGGATCACGCCCTGGGCTGAAGGTGGCGCCAAACCACTGAGCCACCTGGGCTGCCCCTATTTCAATGTTTTTAAATCAGTGTCTAGGGGATCCCTGGGTGGCTCAGTGGTTTAGTGCCTGCCTTTGGCCCAGGGCACAATCCTGGAGTCCTGGGATTGAGTCCCACATTGGGTTCCCAGCATAGCATGGAGCCTGCTTCTCTCTCTCTCTATCATGAATAAATAATATCTTTTAAAAAAAAAATCAGTGTCTATAAAGGTTAAAGATATCCCCTTGTCTTATCACAAAGCAAAGGAAATTAAAATACAGATGGACACCAAATATTATCTAATGACTAGAAAATGTTTTTTATTAAACCCCTGACTCTTTGACTTAATTCATTTTAATAATGTTTGAATTTTCTATGACAAGAGAAGTATTACCAGAGTAATAAGTCTTTTTGAACACTTTAAAAAGTAAAAGCTATCCAAGCTTGTAAAACATGGCCTTTTGCTTTCTTGTTCTTTTAAGTAAACTCTATGCCAATGTGGGATTTAAACTCACAACCTCAATATCAAGAGTCACATCCTCCACAGAGTGTGTCAGCCAGGCACCCCACTTTCTTTTTCTTTTTAAAGTAATGGATTTCCCTGGCTTACTGAGAATTCTCACAGGTTATGTGCCTCTTTTTATCCAGAACTTTTTCCTGAATGGACATATTCTTTCTATTTTGCTCTATACTCCACTCCCACCTGTAAGATCATAGAAACACAAAACCTTTCAGTTGGATGAAACCTCAGTTTCTCAGGTTCATCTCTACCTAGAGCAATAATTCTCCTAACAACATTTCTGACCAGAGGTCCTCCTGCTTATGCTTGGTGATTTCCTGTCGTTCTCAAACTTTAGTATGCATCAGAATCACCAAAATATGCTTTTAAAACAGACTACTGGGCCCCTCTGTGCCCCATATCTCCTGAATTTCTGATTCAATAGGGTTGGTGTAGGGCCTGAGAATTTGCATTGCTAGCAAGTACTGAGTAATGCTGATACTACTGCTGTAGAACCTACACTTTGAGAACTACTATCTTAGAGATTCAATGTCCATCTTTCACTATCAAAGTCTAACATGCCTGGTAATCTTTGGGTGTGTGCCAGACATTGTATTTAGAAAATGTTTATAAAAATAATTTGAGGCCCAGGATGATATTTTTCTCCTGGAAAAAAATGTTTTGTTTTGTCAAGTACCTAGAGGCACTAGGAATCCAAAAATAACTGACCTGATTTTATGACTTGAGGTGTTCTAGGCCATCCAGATGACCCACAGTCCGGCCACAGTCTATGGGAAGGCATGCCACAGGCTCCCCCTTGGCAGGCCCTGGAATGCAATTTTGGCAACCCTTAAGGTCTAAAAGCTGTCAAAAGCACGGTTCTGCATATATGCGTCACTTCAAGATCATCAAATACCTTCACAAAAGTGGTCCCAAATGCCAGACTCACCTCTATAGATTTTCACCTTTTCCAAATCTTGGCCTGGTAGATCTTCATGATCTTGTTAGCTTTATAGTGTGTTCAAGTAGAAGTCTTAAAATATTTTACCCAGCTCTTGTGGCTGTCCTCAGTAGGAGGTCTGGATTATGTAGTCTGCCTTTACTATAAGTGGAATTTTCTCTATTTTATTTATAATGATGATATACTTGGCAGATTTGCTATACATATTACATTGTCTTTCCTATATTAGCCTTTTCTTATTTTCCATTTGCCTTTTGTTTAGAATGTCATTCTCAGGAAGTAAATTAATCATTTATATTTTCTTCTAGATTTTTATGTTTTTAAGTGTTTATATATTATACTCTTTAATCTAGTTAGAATGTATTTCAGTATATGGTGTTAAAGAGTAATCTTTATTTTTTATCTGTACAGCTAACCATTCTGAGCTAACTCATTTTTTTTTAAGATTTTATTTATTTATTCATGAGAGACAGAGAGAGAGAGGCCGAGACACAGGCAGAGGGAGAAGCAGGCTCCATGCAGGGAGCCCGATATGGGACTCAATCCTGGGACTCCAGGATCACGCCTTGGGCTGAAGGCAGGCACTAAACTGCTGAGCCACCCAGGGATCATCCTCTTCCAAACTTTTAAATCTTTTGTCAGGACCCCACCTCCCCCAAAAAAGAATCCCATTGGAATTCTCATTAGAACTGCATTAAAAATATAAAATAATTTGACAATAGATATCCTTACAATATTTGTTCTTCCTATATGGGAAATGGGCTGTCTTTACATTTATTTAGTCTGTTTAAATGTTGCATTCATAGTAAGGTTTTGTGGTTTTATTTATATAGACAAATCCTAAATACTTCATACTTTGTTTTATACTTTTATTGCTTTTTAAGATGAACATTCTTTTTCATTATATTTTGTACCTGGCAATTGCTAGCCCATAGGAAACCTATTGATGTGTATTATTTGGCCAACTTTGTGAGTTCTTTTATTAGATCTAAGAGGTTTCATTGTTAATTCTCTTGTGTTTTCTAGCTAGAAAACTATTTTCTAGAAATAATATAAATACCTTATTTTCCAGTTGTCAAAATTCTTATTTCAGTATCATATATTATGGCATTAGCTAGATCTCCCAGAACAATTTCAGTTATAGTGCACTGTCTTGTCTTACTCCCGAATTTTATGAGAAAAACTTCTTAAAAAAAAAAAAAGAAAAAAAAAAAAAAGAAAAACTTCTTGTGTATCTCTATTAAGGATAGTGGTTAACAGTTGGGTTAAGATAACATTATATTTACTCTGTTTTTAAAAAGTACTTTTCTGGTTTACTAACATTCTTATTAGGACTTATATTAAGACTGGATATTGAATATGTCAAAAAACTTTTCTGGCATTTAAGCTAGGGGACTGAAGAGAGGAAAAAGTTCTACTTTGGATGTATTAAATTCAAGATGCCTGTTAAACTTCCAAGTGGAGATGTCAGAATGAAAATGGGTATATGAGTGAGCAGATAAGGGGAAGGATTATAGCCAAAAAAATCACTGGCACAGGGGATCCCTGGTGGCGCAGCGGTTTAGCGCCTGCCTTTGGCCCAGGGCGCGATCCTGGAGACCCGGGATCGAGTCCCACGTCGGGCTCCCGGTGCATGGAGCCTGCTTCTCCCTCTGCCTGTGTCTCTGCCTCTCTCTCTCTCTCTCTCTGTGACTATCATAAATAAATAAAAATTAAAAAAAAAAGAAAAAAAATCACTGGCACAAAGATGATGATAAAAATTATGAGACTAAATAAAATTGCCTATGGAAGGAGTATAGGTGTAGAAGAGAAGTTCCCAGAATTGAGGCCTGGGTCTTGCCAACATTTAGAAGTCCAAAAGAAGTAGAGGAGACAACAAATAGACCAGAAAGAAGCAACCAGAAAGGAAGGAGGGAAAGCAAAAGAATGTCATATGGTGGAAGAGAAAAACTTGTTTCAGGAGAGGTGAAAGTTGTGAATTCTGTGGAATGCTGCTGTAAAGCTGATTCACCAAGCTTTACTGTGGGGCTTGCTATGGGGGGCATCTGCTATGTGGTGCATCTGCTATGTGACATACTCAATGTCTGGTACTGGGGATATCTAAAGGCAGGCACTACCTCAAGAAGCTTAAGACTAATAGGGGAAATAAGTGTGTAAATAAATGAGGTAATACATTGTTGGCACTATGATAGAGGTGTGAGTGAGGTATAGTTGGAACACAAAGGAAGCTGTGATCCTGGTTGGTCATCTTTGATCTGAATTTGGAATACGAATAAGTGTATATGGACAAGATGGAGAAGGACAAGCCAGGGACAGGGAGCAGCATGAACAAAGGTAAGCAAAGTCTGACATCTTTGGTTAACTTTAAAGCTGGAGCAAAGGGTGGGGACTACAGATGTGGATAAAGCTAAAGAAGATGGCAACAGGCTAGGTCACAAAGGGCTTTCTGTGTCCTACCAAAATTACACTGGGGGTTGGGAAGACAAGTAAGATCAAGAAGACAGGTTGTTTCAGGATGCTGCCAAGACCACTGCAGTTTTAATGGCTGACCATAAAATCCAGGCTAGCTAGAAAAACCAAAGAAATCACAAGTTATGGATCGATAGAGCCTGAAGAATAGTGAGTAAACAAGGAACAGGAGGGTACAAAGATGAAAAGCAGATATAGGCCAGAAATAGTTTCAACTTTACCAGGAACATATGATTTCTTATATCTTAAGTCCGATTATATTCTGAGAGTCCTTGACTATTCAAAAGTTAAATTTAATTGGAAATTTTAACCCATCTAATTGTGTGTATTTTAGAATGAAGAGTCAGAACATAAAATGAGCAGCGGTCTTCTAGAAGTCTCCAAAAACATAAATCCAGATTACACCATGATGCAGAGACCAATAACAGAGGAGGACTTGGAGCTAGACCTGGAGCTGGAGCCCACACTGGAGTCAGAACAAGAAACTGGGCTAGATCTAGAGCTAGACCTGGATCATGAGATGGAGCCTGAGTCAGAGCTAGAGCTAGAGCCTGAACCAGAGCTAGAGCCTAGATTGGAGATGGAGCCTGAGTCTGAGTCCATGCCCAGACCAAGGGCTCAGACTTTTCCTCGGCAGCAGTACTGGCCTCTGTATCAGTCTATGCCTCCTGGCTCCCCAAGTCAGGCTCGGCCTAGGACACAGTCATTGGAGAGGAGGCATCAGGGTCTGAATTCATATTCACCCAAGGGCAATAACACTTAGGAAATGAACTGGGAATAAGGAGTAAGATTCCCTTGGCAAATCCTCCTTCCCTTCCCAATGGCTTCACTTGGTCAGAAGACCTAGACTAGTTACATACTAGCAATCCTTGTTTTGGGACTCCTCTACCTGCTGGGTTCAGCACTGGGATCTTACTCCCAGATCACAACACTAAATACCAAGAATTATCTCTGAATTCCCTACCTAGGCTTACCTTATTTCACCTTCAGCAGATATTCTAGTGAAAAATTTTCTTCTTTGCACTCCCCATACTTCTGAGGATATTGTCCAACCATCTCTAACTTACTCCTCTCATCTCTGTTTCCTTTTCTCCAAAGAGATGAGGTTCAAATAAAATATATAGCTCTTGTTATATTTGGACCCCTCCTGCATCTTTTCCCTTCTCTGTATTCTGTATTCCTAAGGAAATGTTGGGTGGGAGAAATTCCAGAAGTGGGTGGACATGGTGAAGAAGAGATGAGCAAGAAAAGGAAAACCCAGATAGCATTTGTATTTTATATGCAAGGTATCTTCACTGTGCTGATGGTAGAAATAGGGGGGAAAAAGTAGGTTAAGCTAGACCAGCCTATGAGGCTTGTAGTACAAGGAATTGTTAGGCTGAAAACACTTTTGCCATCACTCCAAGGTCAGGATCTGACCCTTACCACTGTTTCAGAAGACCAATCAGCTGTACCAATTGATGAGAATGTTAGCTCTATAGAGCTCTCTTTGGTATTCATATTCACATTCACCACTGCTGCTTTCTTACAAGTTTTTAACATACAAGCAGTCTAGAATCTTTATTCTTAGTGGACCAAACTTAATGTCTGTGACAGACATAACCTCTTAGAAACTGAAAAAGTCCATCATTATAGTTTGGTCCAAATCCATAGAAAAAAAATCCCACTTTCCTATTTAGAAATTCTAGTTTTAAGCTGTAAGCAAAAGAGAAATATGGGCCCCTGGGCAAAGATACATGTAATCCTGAATTTTGTTTTCCACTCAATAAACAAGATTCCTAAAAATAAATAAATAAACACGATTCCTCTTGTTTGGGTACTAAATTTCTCTCATATGTTGGTGAAATTCTTGTTAAAATATAGGTGTCTTGGGATCCCTGGGTGGCGCAGCGGTTTGGCGCCTGCCTTTGGCCCAGGGCGCGATCCTGGAGACCCGGGATCGAATCCCACGTCGGGCTCCCGGTGCATGGAGCCTGCTTCTCCCTCTGCCTGTGTCTCTGCCTCTCTCTCTCTCTCTCTCTGTGACTATCATAAATTAAAAAAAAATAAATAAATAAAATAAAAAAATAAAAATAAAAAAAAAATTTAAAAAAAAAAAATATAGGTGTCTCCTATCACAGAGATGACATGTGCAATCACTCATTCTACATACATCTACTAAGCATCTGCTCCATGTACATCTCAAACTGGGGGGTAGATAGAACAATATTAGCCCTACTTTAAATGCATACACTGCAATTCAGATAAGTTTTGTAACGAGCTCAAGGTCATAAACAACTGTACCCTAGGGACACCTGGGTGGCACAGGTTGTGATACTGGGATCCGGGATTGAGTCCTTCATTAGGCCCCTTCAGGGAGCCTGCTTCTCCCTCTGCCTGTGTCTCTGCCTGTCTCTCTCTGTGTCTCTCATGAATGAATAAATACAATCTTTTAAAAAAAACCCACAACTGTACCCTAAAAGAGGTGGGAACCCACATCACAAACTTCATCTGTTCATGTTTGCTCAATATATTATTGAACTATTACCATACGCCAGGTACTGTCCCAGGTGCTGAAGATACAAAATGAACAGAATAGATGACAAAATTATAAATTGTGATAAGTACCTTGAAGGTAAAATACAGGAAAATCTGAGGGCATACATCAGGAAGGTCTGAACCTATCTTGGGTGTCAAGGAAGTCCTCCTTATGGCAATGACCTATGACCTGGCACCTGAAGAATGAGGAGTTAAACTAAACCAAGCTCCAATGACTACTAGGAGGGCAGAGCCAAATGGGGGACCAAGGGTGGTGACCATGGGTAAATACAAAAGCTAGGCACCCAGGAACACAGCCTGATGAAGCCTAATGGTAATTGCTATGGCACCAAGGACTTAACCAGAAACTGGGTCAAACTCAGAATGAATTGTCAAGGCAGTGACAGGCCAGAAATTTGTCAAGACCAAGAAAATATTTCACACAAAACAGGAGACTAGAAAATACATGGAGAGCCTAGTTTCTGTGGGCTGCTGAACTCTCACACCAGCTGCCTTGTATTGCCACATTTCCATCAGAGGAAGGTCTTTAAACATGAAATCAATGTCTTCTGGCACTTGGGCAGCAAGTGGTAGAGTTTAGACTCTCTTTCTGCTGCAACTGCAACATAGCCAAATCTTGGCTTTGGTGCATGACCTCAGAAAGACCTAACTAGGTGCTTGGATTACCATCTATCTTTAACATCCAGCCTTTCCCAAAGTAGTAAGATAAAAATGGTTAATTGATTATAAATAGTACAGCATTAAAAGAAAATGTAAACTCAACAATTCAGAGGTTGAGAGTCTTTTTCCAAAATGCAAATCACCTGAAATTCTAAGACATTTCAAACCTTATAAATTACTATGGTTTGTTTTCTTAGTTTGCTTTTCCTAGCCTGGTCATCATTGCAGCTTTTATCTTCAGCGAGAGACTAGAGAAAAATGCTAAAGACTGAAAAGGTAGTACAGACTGGATCTGAAAGTGTGCCTTAGCACAAATTTTTCTCCGTTACTGAAAAAAAAATACCTCAAAACAGTTACATTAAATACAGAGTGGGGTATGATTTTTATTTTTTTAAACAGACTACCTATTGAGGAGGGAGCCTGACATGGAGCTCAATCCCAGGAACCCAAGATCATGACCTGAACTGAAGGTTGACACTAACTGGGCCACTCAGGTGCGCCCTCACCCTTTTTTTTTTTTTTAATCTTTATTTATTTATGATAGTCACAGAGAGAGAGAGAGAGGCAGAGACACAGGCAGAGGGAGAAGCAGGCTCCATGCACCGGGAGCCCGACGTGGGATTCGATCCCGGGTCTCCAGGATCGCGCCCTGGGCCAAAGGCAGGCGCCAAACCGCTGCGCCACCCAGGGATCCCACCCTCACCCTTTTTTTAAGCAGACTGCCTGCTGAGCAGGGAGCCCCGACACAAATGGGATTCAATTTTTTTTAAGCATGAGGTGTGATTTTTAAATGTGAAAAACTAAGTGGAATCACTAGACCTACAGAAAGGTAAGTCTGGGGTAGCCCGGGTGGCTCAACAGTTTAGCACCTGTCTTTGGCCTAGGGTGTGATCCTAGAGTCCCGGGATCGAATCCCACGTCGGGCTCCCGGTATGGAGCCTGCTTCTCCCTCTGCCTGTGTCTCTGCCTCTCTCTCTCTCTCTCTCTCTCTGTCTATCATGAATAAATAAATAAAATCTAAAAATAAATAAATAAATAAAAAATAAAACCTTAAAGAAAAAAAGAAGAAAGGTAAATCTGGAAAAGAAACCAGTCAAAAGAAACTAGATAGCTGTGTCTAAATTTGTTAAATATCACAAAGCCCAATGAATTGTACAGGAAGTCTCACCCATATCTGACTTAGATGATATTTAGATGAGACTTTGGACTTAGACCTTTGAGTTGATGACATGAGAAGGACATGAATTTTGGGGGCGGAAGCAGAATGTTATGGTCTAAATGTATCCTCTCAAAATCATATGTTTAAATCTTTTTTAAAAAAGATTTCATTTATTTATTCATGAGAGACAGGCAGAGACATAAGCAGAGGGAGAACCAGGCTCCCCTCCTGGAGCCCAGTGGGGGACTTGATCCCAGGACCAGCCCCGAGCAGAAGGCAGACGCCCAACCACTGAGCCACCCAGGCATTCCCATACGTTTAAATCTTAACCCCCAAGGTGGTGGTAGTAGAGGGTGGGGCCATTGGGAGGTGATTAGATCACCCTAATAATTAATAGGATTAGTGTCCTTATAAAAGGAGGCCTCAGGGGATCCCTGGGTGGCTCAGCGGTTTAGCGCCTGCTTTTGGCCCAGGGCGGATCCTGGAGTCCCGGGATTGAGTCCTGCGTCGGGCTCCCGGCATGGAGCCTGCTTCTCCCTCCTCCTGTGTCTCTGCCTCTCTCTCTCTCTCTCTCTCTCTCTCTCTCTCTCTCTCTCTGTCTATCATAAATAAATAAATAATTCTTTAAAGAAAAATTAAAAATAAATAAATAAATAAATAAATAAATAAATAAATAAATAAAGGCCTCAGAGAGATTCCCTCCTACTTTCCACCACCATCCCTCTTCCACAACAAGAAGAGGGCCATCTATGAATCCGGAAGTGGGTTCTCACCAGACACTAAATCTGCCAGCACTCTGATCTTGGACCTCCCAGCCTCCAGAACTAGAAGAAAAATTTCTGTTGTTTATAAGCTGGCAGTTTGTGGTATATATATATAACTTTGTTATAACTGCCCAAATAGATGAAACACCATGGCGTGAGGATAAAAGAATGAATAAAGTATGATTTCTGCCTCAAGGAGCTCCCAAACTACAAACAGTCATTGTGGGAGGGAGTGTCATGAACTCCTAAATGAAAAGATGATGATAAGAGGTAAAGTAGTATGGAAATAGAGATGACAGGAGGGGTTAGAAAGAATACAGATCAAACAAAACTATTGAGAAGAGATGACATATGAGCTGGGCATTAAGAATATGTAGGAACTGGCAACTATACTTCAATTAAAATTTTTCTTTGAGGGCCACCTGGGTGGCTCAGTCAGCTAGGCCTCTGACTCTTGGTTTTGGCTCAGGTCATAATCTCATGGGTCGTGGGATTGAGCCCCGAGATGGGCTCAATACACAGCACAGAGTCTGCTTGTCCCCCCTCTTTCTGCCCCTCCCCCTTCATAATTAAATATATATATTTTTAAAATAAGGGTTTTTTTGAAAAAAAGAATATATAAGAACTATGTGATAAAAGAAG